TGTAACCTACACTTGCCAGACATTATAACGGGTTTTGATTCAGACAGGAAAGTTGAGGTAAAACTTTCTCAAAGTTTTATAGTATTTGTTAGTGAGAGTTCAATTACTAAGGGAATCCCTGTACACCTTGCAATGTACCATACTTTTTATCATACAATTACTATTAGTGGGATGACTTCATTCAAAGAAAAATCAAGAAGCACTAATTTTCAGTTCCCCACAGAAATAACTTACATGTTATTTTTTCTTTTTCTCCTTACTTAGAACATCATAGGTATATGTTTCAATTATTGATTTTATTAGAGTATTTGCTAACCATGCTCTTCTAGGATAAGTCAACACTAAATTTAAACTGGGAGCTCTGGTAGCATAGTACCTAAGGCACTTGGGTGCTACCCAGAAGGCTGATGGTTCAAACCCATCAGTCACTCCTCGGAAGGAAGGTTGGGCAATCTACTTTAGTAGTGATATCATCTCGGAAATCCAAGGAGGGGTTGCTATGAGTTTGGTCCAACTCGAGGGCAAACAACAGCAACAACAACAAATTTAAACTGCAAACAAGCAAATAAAACAAACAAAAACCCAGCGTTATAAGGTCCTTTGTAAAAGATTTAAAATTTTAGTAACTTCTCTGATGAAGACCACCACCAACCTAATTCCCAGTATGTGAGGATTAATTCAATCTCCATTTTCCCACTTCTCCACTATCTCTGACACCAGGTCTCCACTTCCCAGCATGACATACTCTTTCTCTGCTGGGTTCTATAATTCACTGTAATGTGTCAGAGAGTTCACAGACTATATATACAGTTGTGTGGCTTATTTGGGTAAAAAGACACAACTCAGGAGTAAAAGGCTAACAGCATTTGGAAAAAGGACACAGACAAGTCTGAAAGAGTCCCTGAAGCTAAGCTTCCATTTTTCACCAAAAGGGACAGCTCTGAGAGTAGAAAAGCTCTTCAAAGCCCCATGTTTGTGGGATTTCATCAGTCAATGAACTAATTATTGGTTACCAGGTGGATGCCCTAGCCAGACCAGTAATCAATAAATGATCAGGTACAGTCAATACAATTTAATTACTTAGGAAATCCTCTGCAGTTATATTTTTCCTTTGCCCTTGGTTTTAGGAAAACAATATAAGAGCAATTTAACAAAAAAAGAAATAGACAATCAGAAATCATACAAAAACAGCAACAAGAAATCCAGAAGATAAACACTAAAGCTCTAGAAACAGATAATGCACTGAAGGACAAAGGAGTAGAACAGAATCAAGAAAAGACTGGGTCAGCATATTAGTGGAAAATCCCTTGATACCAATTTGCATTATGAAAAAATAACAAAAAGAATGAAGAAAAATGAAAAAAGCCTGAGAATTACATGGGACAAAATTTACATGTGATCAGAATTCCAGAACAGGAGGAAGCAAAAAACAAAAACAAAACCCATAGAGAAGAACTACCCAAGATTTGCTAGCTGAAAAACTTCCCTAATATCATGAAAGATGAAAAGATATACATCCTACAAGCTCAACAAAGCCCATACAGGATAGATCCCAAAAGAATGTCACCAAGAGATATCATAATCAACCTTTCCAAAACCAAAGACAAAGAAAGAATCCTGAGAGCAGATGGAGAAGAATGGGATGTTACCTACAAAGAGGAACCAATAAGACTAAGTTCTGAATTCTTGACAGAAGCCATGCAGGCAAGAAAGCAATGGGATGGCATACATAAAACCCTGAAAGAAAAAAAACTGCCAAAGAAGAATTATATATTCAGCAAAACCCACAGCAATCAAGTAGATTACAACTCATAGTGACCCTATAGCACAGAGTGGAAGTGCTTATAGATTCCTAAGGCTATAACTCTTTATAGTAGCAGACTGCCTCATCTTTCTCCCGCAGAGTGGCTGGTGGAATAGAAGAAATAAAAGTGAAATACAAAAATTCCCAGAATCAAATGAGAATGAAAACACAATACACCAAAACCTTTGGAAATTAGCAAAAGCAGTGCTCAGAGGACAATTTATAGCAATAAATGCACATATCAAAAAAGAAAGAACCAACATCAACACCTTAACCCAACAATTAAAACAAGTAAGAAAAAGGGCAGAAAAAAAGCCTACAGTTACCAAAAGAAAGGAAAGAAGGATGAGAGCAGAAATAAATAAAACAGGAAAACAATAGAAAGAACAAGACTAAAAGCTTGTTTTTGGAAATGATAAATAAAATCAACAAACTACTGACAAATTTAATAAAGGAAAAGAAAGAAAAGATGTAAATAACACAAACAAGAAATGAAATGGGCAGCCAATGAAATTAAAAAGGTTAATAATAGAATACTATGAAAAACTGTACTCCAACAAATTTGAAAACCTAGAAGAAATGGAAAACTTTCTAGAAACACCTAAACTAACATAGACTAGGGAGCTCTGGTAGCATAGTGGCTAAGGCACTTGACTGCTAACCAGAAGGCTGGCGGTTCAAACCCACCAGCCACTCCTCGGAAGGAAGGTTGGGCAATCCTACTTCCGTAGTGATACTGCCTCGGAAACCCAAGGAGGGGTCGCTATGAGTCAGGGCTGACTTGACGGCACATAACAACAACAACAACAACAACAACATAGACTCATGTAGAAAATCAGAACAGATCCATAACAAAGGAAACTGAACAGGTCATTAAAAAGAAAAACAAACCATCAACTCCCCGCCCCCTCCCAAAAAAAGTCCTGGGCCAGATGGCTTCACTGGACAATTTTACCCGATATTCAGAGAAGAGCTGACACAAATTCTGCTCAAATTATTCCAGAACACAGGAAACAATAGTGGGAAAGGTAGACTATATGAAGAAGAATGCAGCATCAGGATTGGAGGAAGACTCATTCACAACTTGTGATATACAGGTAACACAACCTTCCTTGATGAAAACGAAGATGATTTCAAGTACTTACTGATGAACATCAAAGATTACAGTCTTCAGTATGGATTACATCTCAACACAAAGTAAACAAAAATCCTCACAACTAGACCAATAAACAACATCATGATAAGTGGAGAAAAGAATGAAGTTGTCAGGGATTTCACTTTACTTGGATCCACAATCCACACCCACGGAAGCAGCAGTCAGGAAATCAGATGATGCACTGCACTGGGCAAATCTTCTACAAAAAACCCCTTTAAAGTGCTGAAAAGCAAAGATGTCTCTTTGAAGACTAAGGTGAGCCTAATCCAAGCCATGGTATTATACTTCAGTCACCTATTTGCATGTTAAAGCTGGACAATGAATAAGGAAGACTGAAGAGTTGATGCCTTAGAATTACGGTGTTGGCAAAGAATACTGAGAATACCATGGAATGCCAGAAGTACAAACTAATCTGTTCTAGAAGAAATATAGCCAGAATGCTCCCTGGAAGCAAGAATTGCCAGACTTCACCTCAACTACTTTGGTCACGTTGTGAGAAGGGACCATTCCCTGGAGAAGGATATCATGCTTGGTAAAGCAGAGGGTCAGTAAAAAAGGGGAAGACCCTCAACAAGATGGATTGACACAGTGGCTGCAATGATGGACTCAAGTATAGTGAGGACTGTAAGGATGGCACACGACTAGGCAGTATTTAGTTCTGTTGTACACAGGAGTCAGAGTCAACTCCACAGCACCTGACAACAACAAGAAGGAGCAGATCTAACTCAGTTTTCTGCATAAAAGGGAAGAAGTACAAAAAAGATCATTTTTCACAAAATATTTAATTTACATTGCCAGCTCCTCTTCCATTTCAATTTAACTATTAGCATTTCCCAAGGCTTTACTTCTTAAGTTTTCTTCCCTTCTGACCCTATGGACTCCTTGCCTCTAAATACTTTCAACTTTGTCAATAAATTATTAAAGACAGGCTTTTTTCAAAATTTCTAATATCCAGCTTAACTTCTCTCCTGAATCTCAAATTTCTATGTCAGAGATACCCATTGTTAGAAAACCTAATTAATTACAACCTGTTTTCCTTTATCCTTTTTAATGGTATCATTCACTATACCATCACCAAAGCCACACTGTGACTCTTTCTCTATCCTCACCACCTATATCTAATCTGTCATGAAATCCTTTTAAATTTATCCCTTATCTCTACAATCTCTTCTCTCTTCCCAATTCCCTCTGTCATAGCCTTAAAACAGAATCTGTACCTCTGGTCTTTCCCAATTCTACCAATCTTTTTAGAACAAAAGTATGGTTTTATTATGTCCCCGCATAAATTCTCTAATGATTCCCCTTTCTGCATGACATACAGTGTTTTCCTCAAGTCTCCTACTGGTCCCCACTGATGACATTCCCACAGGCCAGGACTGCTAGTTTGATGATGAAGAGTACTGGCATCAGTGGATGTCTTCCTCCTGACTTTAATGGGAAGGAGTGCTTTGAAAGTTTCACTGTTAAATATGTTTCCAGTAGATTATACATGAACTTTTATTCTTTCCTTACAATAAAGAATAACTCCAGTTTGTAGAGATAGCTGAGGCATGCAACATTCTGGTTAATATAGCATTATACATAATATCATCCTTCAATGACCAATTTTCATAGAATTTATACCACAAATTTAACATTTAAACCATACAGAATAATTATGCTCTTCCATCTCTTGGTACTTCAAAATTTTACAGAACTTCAAAATAATAATTCTTAACACTTTTAACATTAATTATCAATAAGAACAACTATGAAAAAACTTATTTACAGTTCACATACCTATTCTAGCAGGTAACCATTAGAAAATTTCTATAAAATCTTATACTGCTTCCTACCTTTTCTGTTTGATGTATGCAATTATCATTTATAAAATCTATAACGATGAAATGTAGTTAAATAAATAAATCCTATTCAAGGTTCACCAAAAATGACAGTTTTGTTTATAGATAACTTAATAAAACTTAGACAGCAGCTATACAAAAACGTTAAACTTCAATATCTTTTAGTCTGAGATCTATTCCTATATAAAGATTACTTTACCTTTCCAAGCATTCTGCCTAGGAAGTAGTAATGTCTGGCAAAAGAATCTCCAACAAGCATCTGAGCAGCTGGGTTGGGGTACAGAAGCCCTTCATTAGTAGTCTTAAAAAAACCCTGGTTGGGGTTAAATCCAGATTTCAGTAGTTCATTTAAAAACTCTCTGAAAATGCCGCCACCATCAATGCCGGCTTCATCCAGGCCATGAGCATTGAGTAAGTGCACACGGATCCGCTTTTTCAAATCAGGCTCTGTTAAAAAACGGGAGAAAGGGAGGAGCAAGGAGAAAAGATTTTAAAATAAAGAATTAAACTGGTATTATAGGAAGACTTAGGGAGGGGGAATAAAAGTATTACGGACATTTTTATGCAGGACTGAAAACATCAAAATGATTAAAAGGGGACAAAGATATTTGTGGACCAAGATTTTCCCCAGGAGAAAAAAGAAAAAGCAGCTCCTTTACATTAACTATCAAGAATGGAGTTTGGGTTAAAGAAGGAGTGTTAAAGAGAATAAACTCATTCCATATATTCTAAAGGATATCACAGATTAAAATACTAGGAGAGGAGGAGAGGGTAATTAAGAACACAAGGATGTTACTGGGACAAAAAATTACTACCAAGAAAGGCCCAGAACAGAAGCGAGTAAAGATGATGACAGGGGAATTGACATTAAAAGACCCTTTGAGAAAGGTCGATGATAAAGGAATGAAACTCTTAGAGAGTCAGTAATACAGAACCTATACAATCTTAAAAATTCTATTTGACTGGGAGGGGAAAAAGACCGAGAAGAGAAATTATTGGTTACATAATTTGCTGCAAAGAAAAAATAATTAAAAGTTACTCCACTATTGCTGGTACCTGAGAGAAATTTCTTACACAGGTCCTCATAAGGAGGACAACATTACATTAAGTAGGAAATCACATGTTCTTGAACACTCTTGCAATAAATACAGCACCTTCAATACTGGCCTTAGGATACCACCCTCAAATATAAGTCAATGAAAGAGATTCAATCAAGTATCAAAATGAGATGGTCCAAGTAAGAAGTACTCTGACAGGTAGACTTAATCAAAGGACTGATTTTAGAAAGTGACTGAAACATTTAAAAACTTTTTCCAAGAGCATTTTATCATACTTACAGGTACTTTACAGATAAGAAAGAGAATATAAGAGGTGAAGAAGGAAGGAGGGAGGGAGGAAAGAGGAGGTGGGGTTTGAGGAGTACTGCTGTGTTATGTAAGTTAGGTAAACATGGAGAAGTCTGAGTTATTAGGTTTATATACTGTACTACTTTTCATGGGCTTTAATGTGCTACTGATATCTCTAAGAGGAAGGTTTAGTATGAGGTGTCACCCAAACATATATGACCCAAACTTCTAGAAATCATTTTAGAAAACAGGTTTAGCAGAATGAGGTTTATGTTCATCATGCACAGTAGTAACAACTTTGCCATTCTTAAGTAATTATGAGATAGTGTTACCTCTGTAATGCAAACTGGGGGGAAAAAAGCAATTATCTTTGTTGCCAAGTTAACTTTATTTTAATAACTATACTTTCCTTGGGAATAAGGGTCGCTATGTAACTTGACAACAGCAGGGTTTGGTTTCACTTGGTAAATAAAGGAGTCCCTGGGTGTACAAATGGTTAAGTGCTCCAGTGTATCAGCTGAAAGGTTGGTGGTTGAATCTACCCAGGGAAGCCTCACAAGACAGGCCTGAAGATCTGCTGCCAAAAGGTCACAGCCTTGAAAACCATATGGAGCAGTTCTACCCTGCACACCTGAGATCAGCAACTAACAACAACAACAACAAAGTAAAGAAACCTATATGATCTGGGCTACAGTTTGCTATTAGTGCTTAGTAAAAGAATAGCAATAGCTAGCATAGATTATTTACCCTGGGCTAGAATTATGCTAAAAATTTTATATATAATACTTCAAATCATTGTAATAATCTTGTAGATTAAGAATTATCCTCACGTTGCAGTGAAAAAACCAAGGACAAGGAAGGTTAAATTATTAATCCAAAGTCACACAACTCACATTATAAAGGGTAATTCCATAATTTAAACATATGTCTGCTACCTACAAAATTTGAGCTCTTTCCACTAAAACAAATTTCTTTTTTTTAAAATTTAACTATACTTGTAACACATGAAGAACATTTTTTCCCTGATGATTAAATTTCACAACCAAGTCTTCTGTACCTATTCTGATTAATATGATAGAAAATATGTTCAATTTCAAGTTTGGTATAAGTCAGGTAAAAATGACAAAATAAATTTAACCAGGTAATTATAAACACAACACAAAATGTACTTCAGTGTCTCCTACCTTTACATTATACTTTTAGCCCAATTTTAACCCATGTTCATCACAGCACTATTCACAACAGTAAAACGATAGAAACAATCTAAATGTCCATCGATGGATGACTGGATAAACAAACTATGGCTCATATACACAATGGAATACTATGCAATGTTAAATAACAATGATAAATCTGCAAAACATCTCATAACATGGAGGAACCTGGAAGATAATATGCTGACTGAAATTAGTCAATCACAAATGGACAAATACTATAAGAGATTACTATTGTAAAAAGTCAAGAGAAAGTTTTTACATAAAAAGAAACATTCTTTGGTGGTTACCAGGGGTGGGAAAAGAAGGGAGGGTAAACTACTAACTAGAGGGTAAACGCATACCAATTCTGGGTGAAGGGGAAGACAATATACAATAAGGGGGAGGTCAGCAAAAAACTGATCAAGGCAAAGGAAGACACTGAGAGGAGTATGAGTTCAAGGAAACAAGAAGTCTATTACATAGACAATTCAGCAGTAACAGTAATAACAATAATCTACAAGAAGATTCATAGATAGACAAGCAAGCTGAACAGGTGTGGGAAGAAAAGGACTACATCCACAAATAAATATATATGTGACAGGTTATTTCTACATATATACTTACATGTGCTGCAAATATTTCCATAAATATAGTAGAGCACACAGGGGGCTATAACCAAACACCTTGACAGAATGGGCCTAGGGGCTCAGATGTAGTCTCAGGGAATATGAAGACTAATTGGTACAACACAGTCCACAAAGAAAATGTTCTTTGTCTTTGCTGAATAGCGACTGGGATCTTAAAAGCTTGTGAGTGGCCACCTAAAGTACAACTTTCGATAGTTCTGATAGACTGGTGGAACCCTCAAGACTATGGCCCTTAGTCACCTTTTGGACCTAGAACTGGATTAACTCCCTTGGTTCAACTTTCAACCAAATAATGCACAGGTCTACAAGGTGAACAATAATGCTACGGAGGTTTGTGCTTAGAACAATCAACACTCGACTGGGAAAGGAGGAGGAATGGATACCAGAAACACAGGCAGAAGGGGGATAAGTGATGGTACAATGAGGGGATTGTAATCAATGACATGAAACAAAATGTGTATGAACTGTTGAATGGCAAAATTATTTGCTCTTTATATTTTCATACAAATCACAATAAAAAGTTGAAAAAACTCAACTGTAAGAAATAAACAAATATTTATATGTTGTATACAGTATTTCTCAAACATTTTCAAGTATTAGTAGTAGCAGCAAATTTTGCAAACATTGTTTACTGAACATAAGTGGAAAATGCTTAACCATGGTCCACACTTTACTTTTTTTCATTCAAACTGTAGAACCAATATTCTAAGGAGGGCCTTCATACCTGGCAGCCTCTAAGGCCATTTACACAAGTTAATCCTTCAATTTTTGCTAGAATTGAGATTTTGCCATTCTCTAAAGCTAATTTCTATAAAGAGCAACATAAAATAGCAAGATAACAATTCCAGAATCAAAGCAAGCCTTCTAGGTAAATCACTACTACCTGATGCTAAGAATAAGTTAGAAAAATCTACTTCACATAATAAGATTTTACTGAAAATACTTAAGTTACACATTAATTCAGTTTTACTCTATTACCAATTCTTCTTCATGAAAAGAATGTCATTAATTCTGCCTATCATAGAAAATAAAATAAAACCAACCAACAAACGCACAGAAAAGTGAGGCTATCAGGAACTGACTACAGCAAAATTCAGAACCAACTCTAGCATATTCTCATCCAAGATAATAAATGATATCAAAAGCTTATTTGAAAGCACAGGAATTACATTAGATATATTACTTCTCTAATTCTTACAACAATCCTGAGAGTATATGATATTTATGGAGAAATTAATGTTCAAACCACACTCTTAAACAGGTAAAGTATTGAAATAAGGCAGTCCAATGCCACGGAAAGAATAAAGTGGGCGTTAAAACAGATATAAAGAAAACCCAATTGTCATCAAATTGAATCTGACTCATGGTGACCCAAAGTTTGTCAGAGTAGAACTGTGCTCCACGGGGCTACAAGAAGACCTGTGTTAAATTCTTTGCTCTATTAGCAACCAACTATGTAACAGTCACGAAGCTTCTCTGAGCTTTACTTGTTCAACTCACTTCCAAAATGTGGCTAATACTAACATTTCAGAAAACTCTTCTGAAAATGATATATGCTAAAGATTATCCATAAAGGATGGATTTGCTTTAATGACTAGATGATACATGGAATATTTATGTTATAATTAAATATATGTAAGTGATCAGTTATCTAAGCAGTTCAAGCCACTTTCTCATAAATAAAATTAACATTTTGAGATGATAATTTAATATCACAAATTTGTCTTGTAAAATGCCATTCAAACAAATTTAACACATGGTTTTAAAAATTCTTATTAAGGAGGCCTGAATTTGAGAACATTTACAGATTTTAAGCATTATGCCATAAATGTTATGAGCAGAAGATGCTTTCAAATCCTTTAACTTCAATGAAGAATAATTATCAACATGGTCAGCTTCTGAATAATCTTTAAAGCTTAAGGAGCTCTAATGGTATAACAGCTGAATGCTCAGCTGCTAACCAAAAGGCTGATGGTGTGACACCACCCAGTAGCTCTGTGGGAGAAAGACCTGGCAATCTGCTTCCCCAAAGATCACAGCTAAGAAAACCCTGTGGGCAGCTGTACTTTGTAACACGTGAGGTTATTCTGAGTCAAAATCAACATATGGGCACTTAACAACAACAACAACAAAAGATTCATTAGGTAATTTGGGAGTAATGGCCTAGAAAACACCATCCACAGGAAATATCTGTAAACGTTAATTTGAATAACAAAAAAATATATAAAATTTAAAAAGTTAATTTTGAAACTGTTGGTAACTGTTGTTGTTATGTGCTGTCTAGGCACATGTTATCATTCTGGCTGAAGAGCTCACAGGAAGCCAAATCAAACCAACTGGAGAATGAGTGAACACCTGTGTTCTCTGCTTTAACCTCACCTATAACACTTCTCTTCTAAGGTATGACTTGTGTCCTAACTCTCCATGTAGCCCTCCAGCATCCATTAAATCTCATTTTCTAGACACTTGGTACCTAATACTATGCCAATCATTTGTGAATTTATCACTTGTTTTGCCATATCTCTTTTTTTTTTTTTTCCAGAGTTCAATCAGATCTGGCAAACCACTACCTGTCAAAGATTTTATCCAGATCCTGTCTAAGCTTCCATTTTTATTCCCCTTTCAATGATCCAATATTGATCTAATGCAATATCACAGGCATGATATTAATTATACTAAAACTTTTAACACTAAATGCCAAATATTAACCTACGATGAAACATGTCTTTGACCCCTAAAAGCTGCCCAAATGAATGTTACAATATAATTCTCCTTTATCTAAAAGTACTGTCATTTAAAATACATTTATATCCTTTCATAAAGAAACTTGGATTGCAATAGCATCTACTTTAGTAATTTAATTTGACTTGAAATTTATGATATTTACGTAATATATTAAAAATACAGAATGTACATGGCTGCATATAAAAATGTTTAGCATTATAGGTTATAAACAATTTTAGTGACAAATACTCAAAAAAATAGTTTTTGTCTTAAATAATTATAGAGAATTCTCTTGCAAAAATTATTATCAATTTTCAGAATACTATTTGATGATACACATCTCCAAATTTGACTTACTATTTTCCAATCTTAATAATCCAGTATAGACCTGGAAATAGACAGTGGTGACAATTGCACAACATGGCTAAAAAGGTAAAAAAAAAAAAAAAATATATATATATTTAACTACTTTACTATAATAAAAATTTTAAAAGATTATTATAGAACAAAATGATGGACAATAATTTTTTAATGATCATCTTTTTCCAAAATAACTCCTCTGCCTCCCTTGCCACATATATTAAAAACAAAATAAACAAAAAAAACCAAAAAAACTCCCACTCATTGCCATCAAGTTGTTTCTGATTCATAGCGACTCCTGTTGGGTTTCTGAGGCTATAAATCTTTACGGAAGTAGATCGCCTCATCTTCCTTCCACAGAGCAGCTGGTGGGTTTGAACCGCTGACCTTCTGGTTAGCAGTCAAATGCTTTATCTACTATGCCGCCAGAGCTCCTTGCTCTCTCTCTCTCTCTCTCTCTCTCTATATATATATATACACATACATATACATACATATACATACATACAGAGAGAGAAAGAGAGAGAGAGAGAGGGTGGGAGGGAGAGCGGTAGAAAGAGAGAGAGAGGAGGAGGGAGGGAGAGAAAGAAGAGAGGAGAGGTATATATACATACCATTTTCTGGTGAAAGTTTGTCATAAGCATCTTCATAAATGTAATTTCTTCTTATTGTGACATTAATTCCATCCAGAAATGGACCATCTCCTTGAACTTCTTGTTTATCTGCATAAATCAGCCTTTGAAAGATCTAACAAATAAAGAAGTTGTAAGGTTATTAGAAAGGCTAACTTATTTATTATAAAAATTGCTATAGAATTGCTAAGTAAATCTTATCTTTTATATATCCACAAATTCCAACTGAATTTTAATAATATCAAGTATTGTATACCTGATTTGTAAATACTTATATATATGTAACATTGCTTTTCCTCATTACTCAAATTTTTAAAATTTCCTGTGATAATATATTTTCTTTTATAAACCCTTTATAAAAACTTAAGTGGGAAAAGACAGGAAGGAAGAATAGCTTAGTAAAGTTGTATAATATTAGTGAAAGTATCTCCATAATGCTGAAATTTAAATAACTGACAGTAAAGGTCCAGTAGAGGGAGCTCCAGAATTATGAAATTGTGTGTGCGTGTGTTTGTGTGTGTGTGTGTGTGTGAGAGAGAGAGAGAGAGAGAGAGAGAGAATGAGGAAATATCAGTAGCTTTAAAAGAAACTCATTCTTTTGTTCACCTGTTAAACACAGTTAGTAGACCTATAAAAATAAAATAGCTCGGTGAATCCGTTACCTTTCATAGATATGCTAAATAAACTTGGAGAATAAAAACAAAACTTTTCTCCAATAATGTATGGGGGGCAGGGAGGGTACGTAGGAACTCTGTATTTTCTGCATAATTTTCTGTAAACCTAAATTAAAACAAAAAGAAGGTTTAAAGGGGACAGAGGGGTAATAAAACTTTTCCATGAAAGAAAAGACAGAGAGACAGGTATTCTTCCTTGAATACTAGGATATTTTAGAGAGAAGGAGAAACAGAAGCAAACTTTCAAATTTGGAAATAGATAAAAGTTTTGTGCGTTAGTAAAAAAATCACCAGATAAGAAATTAAGATACTTTCTTTTTCAAAATAGCACTTGTGATAAATTACTTTAACATGAATGTATAGATAGCAGTGAACCTTTTTTAAAATTTGCATTTTCCAAAAGAATGCAAAATTTACTTCATAAAAAGAATGGTCCTTATGCCTTATTATAAAAAAAAATACAGGTTTTTTAACAAATTATAAGTTTGTACAATGAAGTCTCTGGCTGGAATAAGTTTTTGTAAATCATTATTGGCTATTATGACCTAATGAGAAAAACACAAATTATATTATTAGTGGAAATGTCTCCGTATTGCTGAAATTTAAATAACTGATGCCTAGACACTAGGCAATGTTAGAGAATTTTTTGTTGATGTATTAATTTTTTAACACTCAAAAATAACCATAAAACATAGTGAGTTAATCTATAAAAGAATCAAAATTATGTACCTTTACACGTTCCTCAAATGGAACTACAAAAGGCAATTCTGTTAGAACGGCGAGTTGTCTTTCCTCAGATACAGAGAGTGGTGGTGACTCCAAACCCACTATAACAAATTTTAAAACCTTAATTAGTTAATCTCTATTTTCCTTTCCATTTCTCCCATCACTTATTAAGATCAGGATTTATAAAAATAATTCTTAAGACTTTTAAAATAACCTACTAACTCATCTATCTCACACCAGTTCCATGAACAATACATCCTTCCTGCCCCATACCCTACACTCTGTCCCAGTGTAAAACCTTTCTGGTAACTACAACCACATGAGTCAGTCATTCCAGGACACTGTTCATGTTAAAAATCTTCTATGGCTTCCCTAATACATAAAAACAAGGCTCAAATATCTTGATCTGATATAAAAGATTTCATAATGTGGTACCAACTTACCTTTCTGGTTTTCTATTAAATCCTTCCCAAGAGACTATAAGTAACCTGCTCAAGTAAACAGCAGGGTACTAATGATGGGGCTAAGAGGCCTGGATTTTAGCCAGATCTGAGTATACTGTTTCTCACTGTCACAGTATACCTTTCTGTTCTTTTCTTCTTGGTATTTCAAAAAAGTTCCATTCAGAGTGTGCTTGTGTATTAAAAAAAAAAAATCCACTACTGTCACTCACTACGTGTAGAGTATGGCATTACTCAGTATTTAATTAATAAAATGCATGTCCTATTCTTTTCCATGGAGTGCTGGTAGTACAGTGGTTAATTAAGTGCTTGGCTGCTAACCCAAAGGTTTGCAGTTTGAACCCACTAGCGGCTGTGAGGGAGAAAGATGTGGCATTCTGCTTCTGTAAAGATTTACGGCCTTGGAAATGCAATGGGGCAGTTCTACTCCATCCTATAGGGTAACTATGAGTTGGAATTGACTTGACAGCAGTGGGTTTGGTTTTATTCTTCAAGAAATATAAAAAGACAACAAACGATGAGACAGCTGTGCTCATTACCAGGCCTCTTCAAATTCATTTCAAAGAAAAGGAAAATCCTGGAAGATTTTACCACTTGAGTAATTCTGAATAAGACTTCTTTTTGTACTCTGTACAAGTGAAAACTGAAACATACACAATACAGTTTTATGAAAGATTTGGAATCTATTGCATATTTATTCAATGACTATTTATTGAGTGCCTATTCAGTGCCAAGCAATGTATCTATTCTAATCTTATCATCACTTTTAACATCATTAATAACAATTGAAACTAAGGAAATGAGCACTCAAATTTATAATAATTCATTACTACACTTACTCTTAAACCCAGGTCTTTTAAGTGCATGATATTTTCTAGCTATTTCTGTAGTACAGAATATATTTTTTTCTCACTGTAATTACCCTATCAAAAGCCCACTGGGTCTGGAATTCTTCAAATATAAGCTCTGCTTAAATCATAATATATTTATTTTGGTGGCTGAAACTTAACATAATGTATGTTCATCTAGCAGTAAACTTAGTATAATGACTAATTTTCAAGTAGCAGTCATTGAAAATATCAGTCAAGAATTATTTTCATGTGTTTGAGGATATAATGGAGTTTAGTAAGAAGTAGACATAATTTTCAAAAATTAAGTAGCAAATCAGCTCCACTACTTGCAAACATGGGCTCAGCAGACATTTTCCCTTTCTGCATTACAAACATCAGGCAGGCATACAAATAGACTTAGGAAATCACAAAGGAAAAGAGAAAATAATACTGTGGGGCAAGCAGAGCTAAAGACCAACAAGAAAATCAAGGTGTACTTTCATTGAGGAAGATAACAAAGAAAGTTAAGCAACAACCTATTAAAACAATGTTTGGATAAAAGAACACAATGATCAAATCTTTCTACCATCTCTCTAGAAATATTCTTAAGAAATTCCAGGTTCCTTATACTTTTTGTATATTATGCTTTAAGATAATGTAATTTGTTTCTTAAAAATGGAACAATCATAGCATCTTAAAACCCTTAAAATATTTTAATTATAAGTCATTATTAAATATAAGATTATACCAAAAATATTTATGTAGTTGGACTCAAATACTGGCTATAAAAATGAAGGTTAAGACCTTTTAAAATAAAAGCACATGTACCAGAATGAAATATATACTATTTGTTTAATAAATATGGTTATTTTGTTAATTTTATTTATACTTCCCTATCAAGAATTCCCATCTTTAAAGGAAAATATGTTGTTGTTGTTATGTGCCGTCGAGTAAAGGAAAATATAGTCAATCCTAAATATATAAGGGTATTTAAAAATTCAGGTCCTCTATTTGGATAAATGAAAAAACACAACTAAATACAACTATTGTACTTTGGCAATATGACAGCATAATAATCATCCATATTCTCCCCCATGTCAGGTGTAATTAAGCAAATATATATTATTAGCTGTTTATTTTCACATTATCATGTTGATTATATATTTTAAATAAATGTAGTGCCATTAAAAAGAGTTAGAATGACATCCCAGAAATTTGTCTTAAAAAAAGAGTCAGAAATGAATAAACTCTGAGCTGGAGGAAACACCACTACTGAGAAAAAAGATACTTTCTGGTCACCCAATAGCAGGCCTTTGGACAGAGAGTGCCGCCCAGAACCTGGATAATCCACTCTGCAAGTTCTTCACTTTTTGGCTTTATAATATGCAACCATATGACAGTAAATTAAAATAAAGTTCTACTAAAAACGTAATCTTTATTCATATATGTTATGCTTAAAAAAAAAGGTTAAAAAAAAGGTCACTAAAAAAACAATGAGAATGAGGAACTATTAAAACCAAAAGGAAACTCATTGCTGCAATAATTATTAAGACTCACAAATGTCTTAAAATGACAGGCTATGATCAAGTTCCAGACAATACCAAAAACTGAACAAAAACCCAAAAGCATAGCAGTTTTGCAAATTTAGTAATTAAAGCATGGCTAGTTTAATCATTTATTTAAGTATTCTTGAAATATCTGATGATGCTTTCAATAACATTAAGGGAAGGAAAAACACACAGAACAGATCAAAATAACTGTTCTTCTTTTTATTTATTTATCACTTCATCTGACTCTAATTTAGTCTGCTAAAATTGCTGAAATACATGAAACACCTCTTCCCCTTAAACTTCACTCAAGCAACTCAGCCACTGTAGTATTTTTAGCCCTATGTAAACTGCAGGGCCATCACTGGAAAAACACTATCCCTATAGGAAAAATGTACAAGACAGTAATTATGTTTAAATAATATACGGACACAAATCTGTGACAACATAGGGTAATATTTTAAAAACTCAAAATTTGTTCACTGAAGCAAAAATAGAAGGTATCTAGTGACAAAAAATAAACAGACTATGATGCATAGAGTGATGGCTATGCAACTAATTGCCAAAATTTGAGTGGAAAAAAAAATGCTCAACTGATGAATGGTTTAAAAAACTGTGGTACCTTCATACACTTGGACACTGCTCAATAACGAAACAGTAACAAACAATGGATTTATGCAACAACATAGATGAATCTAACATACATTGAGCTGAATGAAAGAAGCCAGACTCACAAGACTATACAGTATAATTCCGTTTAAAGACATTGTATAAGTAGCAAAACAATAAGGACAAAAAACCAAATCAGTGGCTAGGGAAAGGATTGGCCACAAGAGAGTACAAGGGGAAGTTTTTGGAATAATTAAATTAATTATTCTATATGGGTGATTATGATGGTAGGTACATGACTGTATCAAAAATCACAGAACTATATTCTAAAAGGAGAATTTTACAGTATGGAAATTATATTTCAATATACCTGAGTCCTGGTGGCATAGTGCCTAAGGCATCTGACAGTTAACCAGAAGGCTGGTGGTTCAAACCTACCAGCCACTCCTCGGAAGAAGACTGTACAATCTATTTCCATACAGATACCACCTCAGAAACTCAAGGAGGGGTCACTATGAGTTGGGATCGACTCGACAGTGGTGATTTTATATACATACATATATATATATATATATACCTGAGTTAATTAAAAAAAAAAAAAGTAAAGCCATTATAGAACTCACCATCCAGGGTGGACTGTAATGGACCTATTCTTCCCATTCGTCGGAACCTCCACACATTTCTGGATGATGGTACATAGAGTTGGGTGACCTATGAAATTATCAATCCTTGTTTAGTACTTTTTTGTGTTCTATTACCAACTTTTAACTCATCAAATTTCAACAGAATCAGTGTTTGAAACTCATTTATAATTATATAGCTCTCTCACATTGATCTGGTATCTTCTTGTCCTTTGTAGACTACTTTTCATGCCCAGTCTCTTATGCTAGGTGTCTTTTTATATTTTTTATAGCTGAATTATTTTTTCTAATATATTCTAATTTTTTATTTAATATATGGATGTGTAATATCTGGACACAGTAAAGTATCATAATAATATAATTGCTTTAGTAAGAAAAACTTACATCACATTTAAAAAATTAACAATTTCTTACTATTATCAAATATCCAGTGTCTTACCATATATTTTCCAATTACCTTATTTGAACTGGGATCCAAATAAAGTTGGTATAGCACAACCAGCACGTAAGTTTCATTAAATCTATAGGTATACCCTTTATTTTCCCCCTTTTGAGTTTTTACTAAGAAACAGAATCACTTGTCCTATAAAATTTCCCACGATCTGGATTTTGCTAAATACATCATCAGGGCATTGGTTATCATGTACCTTAAAGTCCTATATTTAGAAATTAGATCTAGCTGCCTGATCAGAGAGTCAGATTTGATTTTTTTGGCAATAAACCTCATAGGTAGGATTGTGTTATTTCATCAAGAAGCACATAGTGAAGGAAAAAAAAAAAAAAAGAGGCACATAGTGTCAGCTTATCTTTGGCCAAGATCAATGCTACTCCAAGTACAGGTCTGTAAACTCTTAACAGGTCAGAACTTGAGATAAAGAACTTGTGCCAAAATATAAATCAATAATGTCACTAAACATGTTCAGTTCACCTGACTTTTTTTTTTTTTTTTCCATAACGAGACTTTCTGGAATAAGGAAACATTTCAGTGATTTATATTCTGGCACAAGATCATTATCTTGTTGGGGACTCGTAACTGTCTACAGTAGAGCAGCACCGGTCTACAGACCACATCGGCCTAGGTCTTTTTCTTCACCAAATCAAACCAAACCAAACTCACTGCCATTGAATCAATTCGAGTCATAGTGACCCCTACTTGGGTTTCCAAGGTGGTATCTCTATGGAAGTAGATTGCTCAATCTTCCTTCCAAGGAGTGGTTGGTGTGTTTGAACTGCCAGCCTTCTGGTTAGCAGTCAAATGCCTTAGGCACTATGCCTCCAGAGCTCCTTTTCCTTCACTAGAGATGGCAAAATGGTGTTACTCAACTCACAACATCATTGGTTAGCCAAATTACATTTCATAAAGGAAAGACATGATAAATGCTGAGTCTTTATTTTAAAAAAATAATGATGAGGTGGTTCCTTTACACCGTACAAAAATGTTGTTCTTTTTCTTTTTAGTCTCATCACATGCACTGATAGATTTAAACATCTTTGATGTTTCAGTCTGTTGCAATTATTTTTACTGATGCTCATATTTTTCACTTTTGACCAGATAGAATTCCTTCAAATTGGCCCATGAGTCCTTTCACAAAACTCCAGTAACTTCTGGTTTCCTTGCATTCTAATATGATAGAGAGTGTGCCACACTCATCCAGAACATTTCTTGCCCCAGACCTAGAGTCAATCATTTTTCTAAGTAACTGTTTCTTCTCAGTAGGAAGTATGTTTAAAGACCACAGTCTAGTACCTGAAGATGTTCACTACTTGATTTGTTTCTAGATCTTTTCACTAGACAGAGCTAGAAAACACATACTTACAGATAAAATATATCATGAATACATGTATTAATGCTTCTGAAACTATCTTGAAACATATTTTTATAAGCTTGTATCTTCTATCCCTTGCTATCGCTCTTTTGACCCCTAACTCTAAGACTGCAAGATAAACTGACACCCTTTTTTTGATTAACGCAGAAACACTTTAAGTCCTCTGGCAATATTAAATTTAATTTTTCTATTGTATTATTGAATGTGCTTTAGATCTAGCTCTTAGTAATAATCAAATCTACCTCTGCTCCATTAGAAAATACTGAATAAGATCTGTTTCACGTACTGACCATATGTTTAATGTTAATATAAAAGCAGTATCTTTTTCAACCCCCCCAAAATAATCATTAGGCTTCAATATAATTGGTGGTTAAAGGAATAAATTAGGAATAACAACTCAAAAACAAACAATATAGCTATACATACTCTGTGACTTAACATTTAGTAATAAAAAAGTTTAAGGTTGTGGTTTACATAATAAGTAATGGATTAAAACAATTTCAAAGACTATATTCTTCTTCCCAAAAAAAGACAAAGGTTGGAAAATAGTAACAAAAAATAGCAAAAAGATCTTTCAGTAACACCTTATCTGCTTTAATATCTTCTTGTTCTGACAGCCAGTGATTTGGGGGACAAAAGTTTCTTCTGGTGTCTCTGGACTTCAACATTTTCACTAGATTGGTGATAACCTAAAGGGGATGAACAGGTCTAAGTCATATAAACAAGTTCAGTAAGTAGAACTACATAAAAAGCAAGCATTACCACTTCTCAGAAATTGAAGAAATGATTCAATGTGACACCACACACTTCTTTCACCTAAATATTTGAAAGTAAATGATTTTAAGTAGCTGAGATCTGAGCCCTGGTGATGCAGTGGTTAAAGTGCTCAGTTGTTACCAAGAGGTCAGCAGTTTGAACCCATTAGCAGCTTGGCAGGAGTTAAGATGTTGTGGTCTGCTTCTGTAAAGATTTACAGCTCTGGAAACCCTGTGAGGCAGACCTACTCTGTCCTATAGGGTCACTATGAGTTGATACAAAAAAATGGGTTTGGTGTGATTTAGTTAGATGTAACCATAAACCAATAAAACCACTTTATAGAAAAGTGTTCCTGTCTGCTAATCACAAGAACATACTGTAAGTGCAAATAGTTATTTGTCACCAAAGGGAAAATTAATGTAAGTATCTACAAATGATACTTAAAAAAGAAAGATGATAAATTTTAAAACACAAATTTAGAAATGTATAACTCAACTGAACTACAATGAAAGACATCTTCAAGTATGATAAATCTGTAAATATAACCAGTAGGCAAGCAAGACTGTACAATCTAGCTTTTATATTTTCCCTTCAAATTCCATAATCTAGCATCTATATACAAGAGAAATAAAAACGTTATTTTCATGAAATGCATGCAGATATTAGAAATTATGCCAAAGTAAAAAAGGTTTAAAAAAGGGCCTTTTGTTGACATCTCAAGCCACTACAATGCAGACATAACTTAGATGATATACCCAAAAGAAGAGATAAAGTAATACTGAGCATGCAGGCATAACTACATTAGTAAAAATTCTCAAGACCTACAATAAACCTTTTTAACTGGTGCATATTTCTTACCAATTTAGAAGTGACATGTATCCTGTGGCATTTAAAAGCCTATGGTAACACATGGGAATATAGTCCTTCCTAAATTAGTAGAACTTTGTGTAGGTAAGCAGTCACAATGATTTTGGAGTTAGTTATTCTTTGACCCTTGACTGTGTTGTGGTTGCTCAGAAGAAAGCTTGACATATTAAAAGTTTCATGATTATTGTGCAGCCTAGGTAGATAGTTCTATCTGGTTAACTGTAGTGTTGTTGTTATGTGCTGTCGAGTCGGATCTGACTCATAGCGACCCCTCCTTGGGTTTCCAAGGCAGTATCACTAAGGAAGTACATTGCCCTATCTTTCTTCTGAGGAGTGGCTGGTGGGTTTGAACCGCCAGCCTTCTGATTAGCAATCAAGTGCCTTAGGCACTAGGCTAGCAGAGCTCCCGGTTAACTGTATAGTTGGTTATAACAAAGTACTATCTGTCATTGAACCTAATACACCTGAATTCTTGGAAGTCACTCAGTTTTGCGCTTCGAAGAATAAAACTAAATCGTAGTAAGTCATGTTACATCATTTATGCTAGCCTAGTTTGTGACAAATTCAGCCAGTGACAACTTCAGGTCAGTCCATACAGATCACATTGTACAAAATACTCAATATATGCTCTTCTAACAGTGGACATAGAAATACAATCCTTTTGTACATGAAAATCATCTTTTCACTCTCAAAACAAATTATCCTCATATTTTACATAAATTTGGATTTAAAAGTTATTGAGGTTAAATTTAAGGAGCATTAATGGTGCAGTGCTTAAAGCACTCAACTGCCAACCAAAAGGTCAATGGTTCAAAGCCACTACCTGCTCCGTGGGAGAAAGCTGTGGTAGTCTACTTCCCTAACAATTACATCTTTAGAAACCCCATGAGTCAGACAGAATCAATCAAAATTTTTTTTTTCTTTCCTGACTCAAAAGCAACAGCTTAGTTTTATTTATTTATTTACTTTGGTGGTTAAATTTACCTCTTCATATATGTTACAACTGGTAACACAGGACACGCTTTCTGATAGAAATTTAAGTGCATTTATTTAATAACACCCATTTACGTAAAGCATACACATATCAATCCCACTCAATCCTGACATCTCCAAGAATTTATCATTAAAAAAAAAAAAGAAAAAGTATTTATCATTTGCATTTCACAGTTGGAAAAAAGTTTATTGAACCTTAATAACTTGCTCAAGGTCATGCAACCACTAAGCGGCAGGGCCAGATTTGCCTAACTCCAGAAACCAGAGCATTATCCACCTGCCTACAGTTCTTGCTATTCATGCAGTTTATGAGATCAGCTATTTTGTATAGGTCACAAGAGGAAAAAGAAACAATTTCAAGAAGATTATTTATATGATTATCATGTATATAAAGTAATTAATATTATACATTGTTCTCCATTACTGTGAAATTAAGCATTAAAAAGCTTCAATATAGGACATTCTCTTTCATATTTCAAGTATGAAAAAGGAAGTAATCGTATACTATTAAATGTCCTAGTATCATCTGTGGAGCTCTGGTGGCGTAGTACCTAAGGCATTTGACTGCTAACCAGAAAGTTGGCGGTTCAAAACCACCAGTCACTCTACAGAAGGAAGACTGGGCAATCTACTTCTGTAAAGATTTACCGCCTTGGAAACCCAAAGGGGGTCGCTGTGAGTTGGAATAATTGACTCAATGGCAGTGAGTTTGTTTTTTTGGTTAGTAACATCTGTCACCTTTCAAAAAATGAAAAGGAAAAATTAAAACTGAAAGAGGGTATAGGAAAAGATATAAAAGTAATTTCAAAAAACAAAAGTGATATGAACCTAACAAGGTATGTCCAGGCCAGGATATTAACAGATGTCATGGTGGGAAAGCATATCTAATATCTAAATAATTAAACTTGACAGTTAATCAAACTTGAAGATGAACCCTGAGAATTGACAGAGAAAAAAAAAAATGCCCAAAATATTGCATTTGTTTAAGTAAGACAGATACATTGCTTTTTTTTAAAAAAAGTACAAGTTTACTCCAAATATTGCATATGATATACCTATACTAAAATAATTTTTCATTATTTATTTGAAATTCAAATTTAACTAGGCATCCTATACTTTTTATTTGCGAAATCTAACAACACTACCATGGACCTAAAACACATTTTTTTTAGAAATGTCAAATGCCATACTTTAAAATGCAACTATTTAAATTACTTTTCCTCAAGTTTTTAATGACAAATAAAAATTGTGAGAAACCATGAAAATTTGAACAGATCCATTTATCATGCCAAAACACCACTGAACACATTCCTTTTCTATGAATTCATTTTCATTATTACAACTTAAATACTGCTGAAAAAGGGGAAGTTTAAGGAGGTAACTATTAAGATGACCATTAAAAAATTCCATACATTGAGGATTGTGAAAGGAAAACTGGAGTTACATTTTAAACTGAATCAACAGATAACCAATGTTGAATTCAGAAGAGTTTTTCTTTTAATTAATTCTATCAAATATACTAGTACAGATACATCTAATTGAAGATTATACAAAAAATGACAGACACACAGAATTTTAGACATAAACAGGACCTAAGTCATGCATGAAGGAGCTCTGTTGGTGCAGTATTTGTCTGCTAATCAAAAGGCTGGTGGTTCAAACTCAATAGGAGCTCTGCAGGAGACATATGAAGCAATCTGCTTCCACAAAGATTTATAGCCTTGGAAACCCTACCAGGCAGGTCGACTCTGTCCTGCAGAGTTGCTAAGAGTTGGAATCAACTTAAGGACAGTGGATTTTGGGTTTTTAAGTTATGGGTGTGTACACTTTTGCAATGTGAGATTAAAGGTTATAAAAACTTGTTCCCAAAATGTGCAGTTAGGCCTGTAGTTCTTAACAGGAGCTCTGCATATTAAACTCACCTGGGAGTGCTGATAAACTGCCCTCATTTGTGCCATGCCACCACTAATTCTAATTCAATTGGTCTAGGAATGGAGCCCAAATAAAAAGATTTCTTAAAAGTTCTCCCAGGCGGTCTTAAAAGCTTGTGAGCAGCCATCTAAGGTGTAATTACTGGTCTCTCCCATTCCAGAGCAAAGACAACACAGGAAACAAAGGACTAATGGAGCACATGAACCCCGTCTTCCATGACTCTGAGACCAGTAGATAATGTCTGGCTACCACTGTTGATTACTTGGAAAGGGATCATAATAAGAGGTCCTGGATAGAGTGGGGTAAAAAGTAGAACAAAACCCAAAATTCTAAAAAAAAACACCAGGCTTACTGGTCTGATGAGGAGTGCTGGAATCCTCAAGACTGGCTTTTAGATACTCTTTAAGCTAGAAATTGAACTTAACTCCCATGACTTAAGTAGCAGCCAAATGATAGTCCTATAAGGGGAACAGTAACATCAGGAGGGTATATACTCATTACAACAATCAAGGACAGGAGATCAAGAGGACAACATTTGTCCAGGGATAGAGCTAGGAAGATGGGAGAGGATGCGAAAGAAGAAAGAATGGAAGTGGTGGGTACAGGGAGGGAGTGGGAAGCACGCTGTTGCAGTGTGGGGATTGCAGTAAATGTCACAAAACAGAATATGTATGTCCATTGTTGAAAAGAAAACTAATTTGCTCTGTAAACTTTCACTCAAATCACAATTGAAAAATAAAAGTTTTCCATGTGATTCTGAAAAGCAACTAGAATTGAGAACACATGTGTTAAGAAATATACTGTAAATAAAACAGCAAACAAGCGAAATACTAGAATAACTAGCTGTACCTAATTCAACATACATTATATTAGCAGAATTTTACAGTTATAAATAAAATAGCTTTGTATTTATTTGGTATGTTTATCTCTTGTCCCCTATATATCATGTCCTCCATGCTTAATCTAAACCTTGGCTCATATATATAAATCTTCTAAACTAATAAAGTTATTTAAGAAAGCAAATACATAGAAATGTAACAATTATTACACACTCTATTATACCATTTGAGCTAAAAATAGATGATACATGTAAACAGGCTGTAAAACTTTTAACACCAATATTAAAAAGATCAAGTAAGTT